AATGGCACATCATATTCGAAGTGTTTGACGTTGTGTATGGCAGCCTTGTTTTACAGTGTTTACAAACAGTTTGTTTTGTCTGTAATTTATTTACCGTCGTCCTATCGCGTGACTGAAAAACCAAAAAGCTGGGATTAGGATTAGGATTAGACTGCCGTCATATCGTTAAAGTATCGCCACCACTCTACGATACATATCGTAACATTTTTGCATCGCGAAATATCGTACTGCGATATATCGTTACACCCCTAGTAACTGTACATACATTTCAGAATCAGAATTAGCTTTATTTGCCAAGTGTGCGCACACACACGAGGAATTTGTTGTGGTTTTTAAGAAGCTCTTGGTACACACATGCATACATACATACATATCTGACATGAGAACAGAAACATTTAATTAAGACTTAACAATAAATAATAATGTATATGAACCGAAGAGCAAACTGCAGGGGGTCCAGTAATGTCCTTCAAGTATGCCAACACGAGCCTCTCAAATGACTTCATGACCACAGATGTTAAAGCAACAGGTCTGTAGTCATTAAGTTCTGTGATTTTTGGTTTCTTGGGTACAGGGATGATGGTGGAGCATTTAAAGCAGGAGGGGACTTCACACAGCTCCAGTGATCTGTTGAAGATCGATGTGAAGATGGATGATAGCTGGACAGCACAGGCTTTGAGGCAGGCTGGAGAGACACCGTCTGGGCCTTTGGCTTTCCTTATCTTCTGCTTTCTGAAGACTTTGCTTAAATCATCTTCACAGATCTTGAGTGGAGGCTGAGAAACAGTAGGAGGGATGGTGTTGATGGCTGCACTGTGAGACGGTCGGAGTGGGTGTGGGGTGTCAGACCAGGCTTTTCAAACCTGCAGTAAAACTCATTCAGGTCTTCAGCCAGTTGTTGATTGGCCTCAGTGCTGGGGGATGGGGTATTGTAGCGGGGGATGGCTTTCAGGCCTTTCCACACTGATGCAGGGTCATTGCTTGAAAGCTGTTTTTAGCTTTTCAAAGTAGTTTAACTTTGCCACTCTTATCTCCCTATTCAGTGTGTATTTGGCCTGTTTGTACAAGTCTTTGTCCCCACTCCTGTAGGCGTCCTCTTTGGCCTGGCGAAGCTGTTTGTGTTTTGCACTGAACCAAGGTTTGTCATTGTTAAATGTTAAATAAGTCCTGGTGGGAACACACACGTCCTCACAGAAACTGATGTAGGATGTCACGCTGTCGGTGAGCTCATCCAGATCAGTAGCTGCAGCCTCGAAAACACTCTAATTATTGAGGTCAAAGCAGGCTTGTAAATCCCGCTCTGCTTCAACAGTCCATTTCTTTACAGTTCTTACTACAGGCTTAGCAGATTTGAGTTTCTGCCTGTAGGCTGGTAGAAGATGAACCAAACAGTGATCAGAGAGTCCCAGAGCTGCTCGGGGGACAGAGTGGTATAGTGGTATGCAAACAGTGTAGCAGTGGTCCAGTATATTAGATATATAAGAGTCTGGATAACGCTGCTCTGTGTGTGTGATTGTGTGATCCAACAGCTGTAGCACTGCGCTCACACGCGCATCAGGAGGAATGTACACACTCACCAAAATAAAGGAGGAAAACTCCAATGGTGAATAAAGAGGCTTACAGTTAATAAAGAGAGCTTCCAAATGGATGGATCCGTTCAGCCAGGTTTCCGTGAAGCAAAGCACAGCAGAGTTTAGAACGTCCTTGTTTGTGTGGGTAAGAAGTAGTAGTTCGTCTGATTTATTTGCTAGGGAGCGGAGATTCACCAGATGAATGCTCGGCAGCGGAGACCTAATACCGCGCTGTCGGAATTTCACGAGCGCACCAGTGCGCTTTCCTCGTTTGCGTTGCTTGGAGCGCTTGTATCGGATTGCAGTTCCTCTGACTAGAATGTCCAGTAAAATGTCTGAATGCTCAAAAGTCTGCAAAAAAATTATTTGGTGTGCTATTTCTGATGTCTAGCAGCTTAAGCTGATTGGAAAAAAGTTACTTAAAACAGGACAAACAAACAAGAATAGTAAAAGTACTAAGGAGCTACAAACCGAGGTAGCCATGCACGGCACCACCTTGTTGTTATATATATATATATATATATATATATATATATAAAGTGGGTATTGTTATGTCCCGTGACGTAATTGTGTATGTTGGGATATGGTAACATGTTTTTCTCTCCTCCTCCTCTCTCTCGCTCTCTGCCAAGCAGCACTACAAATCATCCGCAGCTGATTGCAATTAGCGGCAGCGTGATTTCCCTGTTACACAGCGCGCAACAGATATAAAGCAGCAGAGAGACACAGCTCAGGAGGAGTCCCTTATCCGCTATCCCAGAGAGGTCGTTTTATTTGCTGTTAAGCAACTTGTGAAATGGTTACAACGATATTGCTATTAAGATTCTTTGTGAGTCTAGTTCTGTCAAACCGGGTAGGGAGATGGGTGCCGATTTATTTGGGTTTATCCCCTTCTAAATTTTTCACCTGTTTTTCTTTAGTCAGGGAGAGAGGTAGGATTAAAGTCTTTCATTTTGTTTTCTTTTGCCAGGGAAGTTATTTTGTTATAACCTTTAGTAAGACTGTTTTGTTTGTTATTTTGGCATTTGCTCTCTCCTCATGCCTTGGTTATTTAAGTTGATTAATTGCCCTGATATTTGTATATTTTCTGTATATATTCTTTTGGGTTTATTTTAAGCCCTTAATAAAAATACTTAAGTATATTTCTGGTATTTGGGTATGCTTCTGTTTTATGGTGTTAAATAGAGGGTTTTGTGTGAACCTTCATTAGAAATATCAGTGGTGAAAGTGACAAGCTGGGATAGAGGAAAAGGAGATTTCTCATAGTTTATTTATTTAATCACATCTTTTAACTTTGTTACTTCCGCTCCGTATCCCCTAGACCGAAGAGGGGAATGTAACGATATAGAAAAGAATCACCCCCCCCCCCCCTTTTAAAA